AACCCGACACTCACACATGTACTCGTTGCTGGGGTAACCAACAACGGATGCTTGAAATCGCCGACGAGCTTTAGCGCTCCAATTTAGGGACGGCAGTTACGTATTTGCTGCACTGTGTCCGATAAAACTTTTATCGATTATTGGGAGCGATGTTGTCATTTAACAGCTGTTCTGTTGACAAATGAGAAAAATGTAAACTGCGGAGTTCTCTACGGTAAATAATTTTCTTGTTTATTTATTAATAAATAAAACACTCAGACCGTAAATAAATAATGGATTTCGACAGTCCGGATGTGGAAAAAGATTTTCCTGGGCTGTATGCCTCTGAGGGCGGAGATGGAAAATCGAAAAAGAGCAAAGAAGATAGCGATTGTAAGTCGGCATTTTGCAAATTGAAAATAAATTAAATCTGTTTAATAAGAAATTCAAATATGTTTGCAGATAGCGAAAGCGACCATGATAAATTAAGTAAAAAGGACTTGCTTATTGGTAGAAGAAAGGACAAGAAAGATAAAGGCAAAGACCGCGGTTATGCGGCGTTGGAGGGAGAAAGCTCTCCAGAGGAGGATTTGGATGCCAAGTAAGTTTTCTGTCTGTGGAAAAGTATGATATTTTTTAATGTCTCTGTAGAAGTCCATCGAAATCCAAAAAATCAAAGGCATTCAAATTTGCTTCTTCAAAAAGTAAAGAGAAGCGTGAAAAGTCGCGTGATAAGGAAAAGTCGGAGAAGGAGGCACGGGAAGATGAAAAACCGCAGGAAAAGGTAAAGACTGAAAAAGAAAAGGATCATAAGAAGAAAGATAAGGAGCGCAAGGAAAAAGAAAAGAAAGAAAAATCAAAAGATAAAGAAAAGGATAAAGACAAAAAGGACAAGAAGGCAAAACAAGTAAACAATGTATCTGTGGAAGTACTTGAATTGGGCGACGTACAGCCAGTTTTCGGAGTTTCAATTAGTTTAGCCACGGAACGGAGCCGCTGTCATGACGGTGTTGACCTACCGCTTGTGGTGCGCGATTGTATAGACTACCTTCAAGAGCACGCTCTTAAAAGTGATCAAATCTATAAAGTAGAACCGTTAAAAACACGCATCCAACATTTCAAGCGTCTGTATAATAATAGAGAAAGGCAACCAGAAACAGATGAATTGGATATACCAACGGCCTGCGCGCTGTTGAAATTGTTTTTACGGTACATATTACAATGCTTTCATATTTTAAAGTTAAACTGTATCTTGTATGTTTTTTTTTTACTTGTAATTTTTGTGTTTATTTTAGTGAATTGCCTGAACCGATTTTAACCACGGATTTGATATCACGTTTTGAAGATGCAGCATCAATTAATTCACTTAGCAAACAACAGGAGGAGCTAAAACAACTACTTGAACTACTTCCCAGCTGCAACCGAACACTGTTATCATGGATTCAACTCCACTTTAACGCGGTTATTCTACATGGTAAACATAATAAACTAACAACCGAATCGTTGGCAATGCTGTTAAGCCCGCCGATGCAGATGTCACACCGGCTGTTGGTTGCGCTGTTATCTCAAAGTGAGATCTTGTTTGCTGATATGACTCTTATCAAGTAAGTAAATTAAGTAAAACTGAAAAGATCTCGAACATCTTGATAAGATAGAAAAAATCTGTTTTAATATGTAAAACAAGTTAAGAATAGATTGTTGCTTCAAACAAGCAGTATGTTGTCAAGACGAAAACCGCATCGCCTTTACAGACTCGTCAAAATGATCATAAAGTAGAAAATATGGAATTAAGATAAAATTTTTGTTGACTTATTCTTTCATACAGATATGTTCCTCCAATAACAGCATCAAGTCCGAAACTCCCAGAAACTCCGGAAGAAATTCAAGTAGAGCTACGCAAACAAGAAAGCTTACTAGCTCAAATTCACGCAGAAATGAATGCTGGTTTCGTTTCCAAAAAACGCGAGGAACAGCTATGGGAAGTGCAACGCATAATTACTCAACTTAAACGCAAATTACGCAGCTTTGAGAAGCGACAAGAAAAGTCAATGGAAGAGTCACAAACAGCCAGCACATGTACACTACCCAATAGCAGTGACTCGACTGACTCAAAATCCACCCAACCACTTCAAGGTTGTGATGCACCCCTCGTTAATGGATCGGCCAAAACGCCCATAAAACCCGTGTTTATTAATGAGGAAACTAAAATTAAAACTAATACCAAGTTTACTACCGAGTCACCGGAAACAACTGCAACAAGGAGTTCTTTAACCCACGACAATGTAGATTATGAAGCAACTAACGTATTGCAAAATGAACCACAAAATGTCATCCATTCGGAAGAATCGCAACTTGCAGTAGATGGTACACATCCTGATGGATTTTACATTGATGAAGATTCTTCCTTCCTAATGGTACCTAAGACACATCCTGAATATTCTGAACTAATTAGATTGCAATTAGAAAGTCAGGAGTTACTTGCTTGGAAGAATCAATTACAGGCGCGTATTACTGCAGAAAGAGCGGAAGTATTAAGGCTAAAACAACAACATCAACAGCTATTGGCTGCAAATTGTGCAAATGTAGCCTCAGACGATGCTGCGGCTGGTGGCGATGGTGATTACGAAAAAATAATAGAGCACTATTTACGCGAGAACACCTTATTGGAACATAAAAAGCAAATGCTTGTGCAAGAGATATTCGACGAGAGGCGCGAATGCATTGCAATGCAAGTGGAATTGGCGCTGCAAAAATTTAAAATTTAACGAACAAATACATAGGTCTAAATATGTACATATGTTTAGGCGCGTACCGCCATAAACATCTATTTATGCAAAAAAAGTTTTTATATTTTTTAGGTACAAGTCCCTTTCTTGCTGGAAGATATTCATAACTCAACAATACAAAAAACGGCTTTAAAGCTTTTTCATTTCTTTTCAATGTTTTCCTACTGATCAATCGCAAATAAAAACTAACAATAATAAAAGTAACAAGTGTAAAATTTAATACAGAGGTTAAAGCTATAAACAAAAGTTATTTTGGTTTCTCTGATCGAAATGTGATTACTTTCCTGCTATATTTGCTAACCAAAGTGGAAATGAGTAAAGCTGCACAATTGACCCTAATTTTGACACAACATAAAAGAGAAGCCATTTTAGATTATGACAATCTTCCAGGAAACGAGCGATATATACACACATACAGTCAGTGTCAAATGTATTTAAGTGTACACCTTATTCCAACTATTTTCATGAAAATTTTTTTCATGTTTCAACCATTAATTTTGTAGAATTTTTTTGTCTATTTTTGTATGGAAGAAAATGCGCAACACCCTCCACAAAAAAAAAATAATCTAAAGAGACAACAGTAATTCCGAGCGACTTTGAACTTGCACTTTATTTTACTAAAATTGAACGGGCTAGCAAACTGCATACTCTAAAATTTTCTAGAAATTCTGAATGAAAATATTGAAATTTTGATGAACGTTTTTCGAACTTTATACAAAGTGTGAAACTTTGATTTATATGGTTTATGTTAAATAATAATCTATATTTTCATAAATAATTATTGAAAAAAAATTTTCATGAAAATAATTGCGAATATTATATTATAACAACGTATTCACTTATATTACACAGTGAATTGTATGTATATAGCACAGTTCAAAAGTATTTATAAATAAATATGTTTTCTGCTTTTAAAATATCTGAACATCTTTAGATTAAGAAATTATCAGATTGTCAATAGTTTGTACAAAACAATTGATAATATTTTATTGATCAAAAACAAAAAATATTGAGATTATTTTAACTACTCAGTGCATATGTAGCAATGTAAGTAAATCTACTTAATTAATAAAATTACACGCTTGCAAAAAGATCCAATTTTCCAATTACTCGGCTTATTAAACAAAAACCGAATTAATTCTTTTTTAAATTACTTTAAAATGCAAAACAAAAAGTTCTAATTAGTAGTTCCCTAGTAGTAGAGGCATTAAAGTGCCACCAACTTCAAGCAGGCGAAGGCATTGTACGTGAACGTCAAATCGTAGCACATACACAAATGTACATGCAGAACGTACATGTTTTGATTGCGCAGCCGCTGGCATGCGGTTATCAGACGCGTCGCTGTCGCTTATGTCAAATTGGTCTACGTTCCTCTGCTTCCGTGTACATGGAGTGTCGTTGTTATTGTTGTGAATTCGTTGACTTCGCTGCTTTGTAGCTCGCAAATTTTTTTAGGAAAGAATCAGCAGCCATCGAAGCAGGAAGAGGTTAAAGCGAGTGCACTTAATTTTGTAAAGTAAAAAAATAGCAAAATGTTGAAGCAAGTAACCAAACAATTGGCTATCCAATCCGTGAGGAATTTCGCTACCACAAAGCAGGTGATTATCAATTATTTATTGCAAAGAATTCAGTAAAACAGCTCAGTTCCAATATGCCGTGAAGTGACGAGTGCATGCAGTTTACGTAATCATCACAGTAAAGTAATGATTTAGGAAAATATTAATAAAATAATACGAAAAATCTGAGTGAATGAAATCTTCTCCAAATATGACGCCGTATTTGCAATGGCAAATGTTAAAATATGTTGAATTTATATTTCAGAACAACTTCAAGGTCACAGTATGCGGTGCCTCTGGTGGTATTGGACAGCCCCTTTCGCTGTTATTGAAGAACAACCCATTGGTTACGAACCTGTCACTGTATGATATCGTGCACACACCCGGCGTTGCTGCCGATTTGTCGCACATTGACACCCAAAGTACCACTGAGGGACACGTGGGACCAGAGCAATTGGGCAAAGCTCTAAAAAGTAAGTTTATCATCTTGAATTGTATTTCATCATAATTACAACAAAAGAGTAGGTTTTCTGCGCGATGCCTTCGATTTAAATGAAACTTTGCACGTATGCTACTTTCACAGCAAAGCCCATAACATAATTTCAGGAGCTACCCAGTAGATAATTTCAGGAGTTAAAAGCCGTTCAGAAAGGCCTTACTGAGACCCCAGAGGCCTTCCACTACACATTCCTTTCTCCTTTCTTTTTTGTATGGAGTGGCACAAATTGAAGGGCTACTTCTTTCGCTACCCATGAGAAGCCTTCCAGATGTGCTTTTATAGGACGTACTTCAGAGGGCCTTTTGGAGGAGTTCTTTTAAAGTGGCTTTTATATATAAAAATCATACATCTTTGAAGTATTTGCTAAGGTTTATATCAAATTTGTGTTATTGCAACTTAAATGTTTATGGAAATTCATTTGTAATGCTAAATAATATAAATTTATGCATTCGCTTACATTGTAAATGGATTAGCCCTTCTAGAAGGCATGCAAGGAAGCACTTTTTTTTGTGTAGGCCTCTTTGAATAGCTTTACTTAAGAAGGCCTACCTAAATTATCTTCAGGGTAAGAGACCTTCGGAAAGCCTTCCTGGCAGTAAAGATGCCTTCCACTCTGCATTCCTTTTTCATTTCCTTTTTGCATGGAGTGACAAATTAAAGATCTGCTTTCACGGCCAACAAACGAATATAAAATTCACTATGGGTAAAGAAAACGTAGGAAAAATAAACTATTTGGACATAACAATTAACCCTTTCCGGTCAAATCCGTCCCTGATGAATATAAAAATGTTTCCTCTTAATTGCAAGGACCATAGAGCCTCATAATACAAAAAGTTAAAAAAAAAAATATATACTCAAAAGTTGTTTTGGGTAGCTATTAGGGCTACCTCAAGTCCGCAAAGGAGTAAAAGCACTCAAGAAAACTCAATAAATATTTCACTAAGTTTGACGGAATAAAACTTTTATTTCAATGAAAATGAACTTATATATGTACAAAATAATTGTTTTTACTGCAGATATTTTGGAATGAATATTTTATATCTTTTTAAGTATCTTTAGTTAAGATTTATATAGAGAAATTTTGAAAAATTTCAGATACAATTACAATATAAAATACAAATGAAGGTTTTAATAAACCTTACCGGTGTTTCTGCCTTCAGTAGATCAAGAAATCAAAAACCTACCCTTTACTGGAACAACAGCGCACAAGCTCTTCAAAAACAACGGCAAAAACCACCCTAATTGCCTGTTCAACTGCAACCTTTGCGGACGTTTTTACAAGACACTTAAAAAAAAAAAGTTGGAAACTTTCATTCTGTCAGAAGTTATGCTACTTTTTCTCCTGATGTTCCGCATACACGACCACGTGGCAGCACCTAATTGCACGCTTCTTATATGCGAATGAGGCATGTGAATATTCGTGAATAGTACATATCGCACACGATCTTCAAAAGTGACACAATTCAAAATTTGGCAATTCACACCTTATCGATTTTGATTGTGAGGGTTGCGGTTACCATGTACGCACTGCAAATGTTTTTCATCGGATAAACAGAATTGAAGTTACGAACAATTAAAAGGCTAAACCTATGAAAAGCGCGTTTTGAAAATAATTGGTTTCGAAATTTTTTTTTTATATAGGAGCCCCTCCCCTAAATTTCATCCTGGCTACGCCCATGCGAACAGCTGATCGGAATTTTGTTTACACACAAAAGCATAAATAAAAAATAAAAAAAACACGAAAAGAATATAAATTAAAGTTTGCTAAAGGGTGTGTTCAGAAATGCATCAAGCCAAAGCATCAGACGCTTTTATTTCTAAACTATAATTGTTGCAAATGTCCAATATGCGCAACCACGGTTAAATGCCTAATTGGAACGTAATTGCGTAAATAAGGTATTTTCATCAGTTGTAGTTTATAAGTAAAAGAGACTGATGCTTTGGCTTGATGCATTTCGGAACGCACCCAAAGCTGCATTTACATGGATCGATTTCTGTCGACTGGAAAATTGAATAAGAAATCGACTAGCCCAAGCATTTACATTTTACGGTTGTACGCCAAAAATCGACTAGAAAATCGAAATATTGAAGAATTGATAGAATTTCTGCATACTTAGCTCAATTTTTTTATTTTTATTTTTATTTTTTGGATTATGACACCTGCAGCAAATGTGCGATATGTATATGCATATGTCTATATGTTAAAGATCATGCGCTTCTGACGTAACGAAAATAAAAACAACTTATGAATCACAAGTGCATAATGGAATCTTATCAGCATGGAAAAATTACAAAAGCTATGAGTATTAAAATATTATTTGCATCAACAGCTATTTGTTCGTATTAAATTAAAATTTATAATTTTTGGGTTGTATTAAATATGTGTATGTATGTATGTGAGAGATATTGCATAAGCAATATTTGGTTGTAATTAGATGGAAATAATGGCTGCTAAGGAGAGAAAGTGCAATTACCTTTAAATTGTTGTAGTACAATGCGCATTGTGGTGAGAAAAGAAACGATAAATGAATGCTCAGCGGAAGGCGTCTTGATCCTTCATGCATTATGAAATGTAGCTTAAGTAATGAAAGGACATTTTGTACTCTTAATCGACACCAAAGGACCTGAATTTTAAGATGTGATACAAAAAACTTAAAAAATTAAAAAAAAACTACAAAGCCTATATCCTCCTACACACATAAGGTATGTCTTTATGTATGTACATATGTATGCACACATTTTCAAAAACTACTTACGTAACATCATTTCAGTGATATATGTATGTATGTTAAAGCTTAAACAGATGGCAGCATTGATCCGGATTAACTCAGACGTAATGGCTTGTATTAGAACAGTAATAAATCCGTCTGGTCATTAATACTTAGTTTGTAATTTTTCGCGTAATAAATTAAGGGGAAATAAAGGGAAAAGTATACAAACAAGCTTTCATTTGAGGGAACTAAGAATGCTTGAAAATTGCGTTCGTGAAAGTACGAAGACTTAATCACATTGCATTTTGCTTAAAGTGAATTGTTCTCACTATTTTCTATGGCTAACTTATAAAGCATACCTGTTTCTTACGTTTCCATCACTATTTGGATTTTATTTAACACAAAATAGCTTAAAATTCGAATTGGCTTAATTTACACGCACTTTTCACATCAAATGAATTTTTTCACATGCATTGACTTTGAAGAATGATAAATGTTCAATCACCATAAAATGTCACTCTATTTTCTTTAAAAAGGCATTACAGAAATCCGTTTTTGAAAAATAAAAATTTTTGACTTTTGTCTATGGGGCAGTCCACTGTGCATTGTTCGAATTCTTCTAAGTAGCAAGTTATACCACTTATTAATTCTTTAAATACAAGTTTCTTTTAGATTAAGTTTGAATGGATTATTGATATTTTTTGAAAAAAAGTAGCTGCTAATTTGGAACCTTGTGGAACTCCCGTTTGCACTGGTCTATTTGAACTTCTTCTATTATTTATTTCACCATATTTTTCCCTATTTGTTAAGAAACTTTCAAAGATTTGCAATTCGTTTCCACTTATTCTCAATTCTGCAAGTAATATTATCAAATCATTGTTGAAAATATAAACTAAGGCATTTGTAATATTAACTAAAAATCACGTTGATTCCTTTTCAAGTTTGAAATTGGTAATATTAATTAATTTTTAGTTGACGTTTCTCTCAGTGTAAACAAGGACAAAAGCATGCCCTTTTACAGTGTTGAGTGTAACACAAAACACATTTTTCACCGTGGAAGGGCAACATTTTTTTTTTGAAGAAACTTTGCTCTTTCAGTTACAAACGAAAGCAGTTTCGCTCTCTTAACTTAAAGAATTAAACTTCATGCAGAAAATTGTCAGATGACCAATTTTCAACTCTATTTAGACTGTACTAAAAACAAAATAACTTAAGTTCATATTTTATTTTATTTCTAAAGATGCTGATGTTGTTGTAATTCCTGCTGGTGTACCACGTAAGCCTGGCATGACCCGTGATGACCTGTTCAACGTGAATGCTGGTATTATTCGCGACATTGCCAATGAAATTTCTAAGAGCTGCCCCAAGGCCCTGGTGGCCATCATCACCAACCCTGTTAACACCTGCGTTCCAATTGCTGCTGAAATTCTCAAGAAGGTAAACCAAATGTTTTATAGCTACATATATACATAGTATTGTCTACTACTGTATTTATCAGTTGTATTAATACTTACATACATATATGTACATATGTACATTAGGGTGCCCATCGAAAATGTTTTTTTTTTTGGAATTTTCAAGACTACCCCCTTATTTTATTCGTTTTTATGAGAAATATTATTGCCTATTTTTATAAATTTTTTAAAGGTCATTTTAGAGGTCGCGACCTGTCGATTTAGGTCAGAAAATACGATTTTGTAGATTTATGAGTTTTTGAATGACTATTTTTGATTCGATTTCAAAGTCGAATATGATCTGAGAAGCGGATATATAGGCCTTTAAAATGGTATATGATAAATTAAAAGGGACCCATAAATTCTAAAATTTTTATGCGATTGCAATAAATGCGGTATCAGTTTATTT